GGTGTATATTGACTAGTACTAAAAAGTAGATTGTCATTATGTACAAACATAACTGTTTCCAACCCTGCAGGTGTAACCAAGACTACAGTAAACATGACTTCCAGACAATCTCCTGGTGTATATTGACTAGTACTAAAAAGTAGATTGTCATTATGTACAAACATAACTGTTTCCAACCCTGCAGGTGTAACCAAGACTACAGTAAACATGATTTCCAGACACTCTCCTGGTGTATATTGACTAGCACTAAAAAGTACATTGTCATTATGTACAAACATAACTGCTTCCAACCCTGCAGGTGTAACCAAGACTACAGTAAACATGATTTCCAGACACTCTCCTGGTGTATATTGACTAGCACTAAAAAAGTAGATTGTCATTACGTACAAACATAACTGTTTCCAACCCTGCAGGTGTAACCAAGACTACAGTAAACATGTCTTCCAGACACTATCCTGGTGTATATTGACTAGCGCTAAAAAGTAGATTGTCATTACGTACAAACATAACTGTTTCCAACCCTGCAGGTGTAACCAAGACTACACTAAACATGACTTCCAGACAATCTCCTGGTGTATATTGACTAGTACTAAAAAGTAGATTGTCATTACGTACAAACATAACTGTTTCCAACCCTACAGGTGTAACCAAGACTACACTAAACATGACTTCCGAGACAATCTCCTGGTGTATATTGACTAACACTATTAGTAAATCTTCTGTCAGTAAATATTTTTGCACAAGGCCTTCACCGTAATCTTAATACACATGGGCAGAATTAATTTTAAAATGAAGATGTTCTCTGTAAAAGGTGAACTAACGAGCACAAAAGTTGTGTTCTCGAAAAGCTGTAATATTAAATTATTGTTGAAAAACAGGTTTAGTTATTTTCGTCATTGTAATGTCCAAAACAATCACTAATTTCTGTAGGATCAACTACCAATTTTAAGGTTCTTTATATTTTGTATCGCTGATTAGAAAAAAAAATTAATATCATGCATACATAAACAACAGCAAAGTTCAACTTTTAATTTATGTGGTGGTGGGACTAATAATTCAATGCCTCTAACAAGTTATGTGTCTTGAAAGGTTCTATTGTCAAGGATCTACAGATATTAATAATCCAGGTGTACAGATGATCTATTGAACTTCACAATTTTAGCAATGAAGACGTAAATATATACTTTTGTTTTTAAGTTACTAGATGGCACTGTGAAAATGTAAACATTTTGAAATGTCTAAAATAAATCAATATACTTTACAGCACCAACCATACAAAAGCACAGCTTCAATTACACATACTCTGAATATAAAAATTTAAAGGAGAAATTTGTTTTTTGTTTCCAATTACATTTTTCTTCTTGGTTTGTAAAAAACAAGTTTATAATGATGATGAAGTAACATTGTAAAAGTCAGTACACTAAACAAAGTCTTTGAAATTTAATTATTACCTACTCATTAGAAAAGAAATATTCATATTCTGTAGTACAGTATGTAGTTTAATAATAAGTAAATTTCCATATTAGTTCTTTAACGCATTCACTGCAGCTGGTACGCATATGGATTCTTGCTTTTAAAAATCGAGCACGAGGTGTTGGATAGTAAATTTTTGTGGTAACGTTGTCCATCGACATTCCGCTACATGTTGGCATACGGTAAATCAGTTATTTCCTCCTCCTATGTGTTACTTTCCCTGAATAACATGACAGCAAGCACTGCCAAAACTGGGGAAAATCTAGATCATTTTATGTATTGACCAGATAGCATTGACTCTGACAAACTGATGCGGCGAACAGAAAAAACATATAGAGGTCACATGTTCCATCTGTAGTGAGTGGGTTAAAAAAATAACAGTTAAAAATACCTACACTTGCTGACCAAGCAGAGAGAGACGTACTGTCTTTCTCTGTTCATCTGTGTGTTGAGGACAACGCCGAGATCGCATGCACATCTTCTTACTGTGTTCCGATATCACACCGCAACACTGAAAACATAAACTCTTAGTAAAAATCGTGTAATATGTTCCCTACATAATTTTCATCGTGCTTATACATCATTTCAATTTACTCTTCTGTTAGTGTAATGTGCTTCTGTATACAACTATAATCATTTTCTTCCAGTCAACATGCATTTGGGTCTTTAAAACTCTTTGACACTGTACAAAACAACGTTTTGAGTAAAAATGTTTATTTACTGCAATAAATATAGCTACACAATATTGTTTATACTTGAATACTTTTTTACAAAAGATCAAATTACAATGAAATTAAAGAACATCACGGTGATTGTTACATAAGATTTCCATTAATTCATTAGGTAGGGGTCCTAGTTAATGTATCTCGTGGTCTTGGGAGTAAATTAAGCCAAAAGGTTTGGAAAACACTGGCCCAACTTACACAAACACTTGTGAAGTTTTAAAATAGCTACAACCTAACACAAAAAATAGGAAGTTACAGGTCTGGAACATTTACAACAGCACAAGTACTTTGTAAGTAAAAAAATAGAATAACCTTACTGTTACAAAGTTATTCACTACTGATTAAATAATGTAAACATTGTATAAAAAAGTGTTTACACCCAAGTAACTTCTAAGATTGGAAAACACTCACCTGTATAAGTAAGGCTTTTCTTTCCTCTAAAATACATATAAAAAAATAATATAGTTCTGAAAACTATTTCAATTTAACTCGTATTTCAAGAAAAATATCTGTTAAGTGCTTAGAGTATTTATTAGATGTGATTAGTCTGAATTAAAAACTAAAATAAAACAAACATTCCAGTTGTCACTCACAAATCACACAGTTTGTAGAATAATGAAGTTTGGCTAGTATTAATTCTTTGATAGTCTTAAATGTTGTGAAAGGTTTTACAGTTGCAAATGTGCAAAAAGGAAAGTGGTAATAAAGTGTAGTACAAAAAGGAAAGTGGTTAGAAAGTGTAGTACAAAAAGGAAAGTGGTTAGAAAGTGTAGTACAAAAAGGAAAGTGGTTAGAAAGTGTAG